CTGAACCGTCAGCAAATATATTCAGTATTCCACACACCTTCATTTTTAGAAGAGGACGGCGTGTCCTCTGTAACTTTGTGAGGAGAAAAACAAACATGAGAGCGCGGCGTAAACTCCCAGTGAAGTGGTGAAAAGTGCACGGGGACCACCAACTTAGCAATTTTGCGACAAAGCTCAACTTTGACTTCCCCTTGCACGCCACTTTCTGTGGTATGATCAAATGTGTGTGGCGAGAGGTGCTATATCCATGCATATTAATGCAAGATAAGGTGGGTCAGCTCCCTAGGTCAGTCATGCAAGGAAGATGAAGGCAGTTCATGACATATGATGGTAAAGATGATTAATTATGTGCATATCATGAAAACTGACAATGCTGGGCTAATTTCTCAGTCTGCTTCCATGCTTACACACACTGGTTCATTAGAGAAATATCATAATTTTCTAATCACAACATCCTTAGATGACAGAAAGTATGATCTTTGCATGTGCCCTGAATGAGAGCAGCCATGTTTTGCTTGTGGACAAGCAACTAACTGGAGTAGGAGAGGTCAAATAGTGATGTTCCCAGAGATGCTCTGCTAGTTGATTAAAATAAAAATGTTTCTTTACATTCTATAAAGTGGTAATTAGTAAAGAGGGTTTACTGTGTAAGCTTGATTTATGCCACAAAAAATTTCAGTGTTGATTTAATTGCATCACAATGCAGTTGAGTTCCATGGGTTTAAGTCTACTGAGGAAGCATTTGCACAGCATGAAAGGTATTCTTATTAAAGTAAGAATTTAGCTGCAACAAGTAGATAATGTTGAAAACAAAGCAATAAATTTAACATCTGTAGATACATGTTCCAAGTAATCATCATCAGTGTGCTTGGCCCAGTGGTCGCTAATGAAAAATATGTAAGAGAAAAAGGTCAAGAGCCAATAATGATCAATAACTGACCACAATAAATAGTGGGACATTATCATCAGACATGAATCTGTCTGGTCTAAAAGCTTCTAAGGAACTAAAGTTGCGTACATGGCACTGAGAGTACTAGGTGTTGATATGTGTTAATGTTCCATGTACGCATGAAACATCGTGTCACACCTGGTAATTACCATCTCCGCCAAGGAGCCTAGGGTTCAGTGTGTGTGTTTGTTTGCTCTTTAGCAGGATTATGGACAAACAGCTGGATGGATCATCAGCATACTTGGTACAGACATTAGTTGGGACCAACCCTACCTAGAAGGGAATAAATTGTGGCTGAGAAAGGTCAAAGGTCACAAAAAATAATTTAAAAAAATAAAATCACAAAACCCCCTATCTTTAACATGGGGCAAAATTTTAGAAACTCATATCTGTCAGACTGAAAACACCATTTAACACATATTTTCTGTCATAACTTCACCTGTAATGAAGGTAGAATCCTGAAATGTTCAGATAAGATGCGCACTATGACAGCCCATCACACCCTAAAAGATCATCTAAATCTGATCTGGATCAAGGATTTTAGGACAGATATTGTGTTGTTCTGGATCCCATATTTGACAAAGGGGCTCATTTGCATGAGTGTTGTTTCCATCACCTCTACCTGCTCCTGAGGATGCTTTTAAAGAAAGTGCAACAATGTCTCTGCCTCTGTGCTTTCTGGCTTAACTCCACCCTTGCATTGTTTGTTTCAAATATCAGTGGATCAGCAGAAAACAGCTTTTAAGGTGAAGGAATACAAGGTTCATAAGCACTGAAGTCATTCCACAGAGCGATGCTCCCTTGTTTGAGACGTGGAGAGATAAAACTCACTGTTCAGTATTTCACAATGGAAAAAGTTGAGATTAGAGAAAAATCTGGAAAAACAACATAATGTATGCAGCAGAAATACTTTTTTCCCTTTCCTAGTTTGTTTTTCATCTTGGGGCCCCTAAGAACTAATCTCCAAGCCCTTGGAGGGTTGCGAGCACCAAAGGGGGAAACAGCTGGTCATTTGACTTAAAACACATCTTTGATTCTTTGTGATGACTTGCGATTGAACAACTGCATCTAATCTCGACTAAGCCTCTGATTGGTGGAGAAAATCCTAGGTCACTGTGTGAAATGCTGTGTTCCCAGGATGCCTTGTGATTTGAATCAATATTGTGACAGGAGGAAACCCCTTGTACCTAGCTCTCCATTCTCAATGACTTCAAAGGTGGTCCAGAAGTCATCAGCGGTGAAGGTGACATTCCTCATACTCAGTGTGGATTCTGCAAGCTCCAAAGACCTCATGCTGGGAGAGACCTGCCGCAAACACAACAAACAGATAAATGCATGCCTAGGCACACAACAAAATGAACCAAACTAAGTAAACACATCCTGCATCTAAAATCTTAAACCAGCTCTTTTGGCCGACACCACTGCCTTCAGCCATCGCTGCCTTTGAGGAGCCATTCAATATTTAACATAAAACATTTACTGCATATAACATTTGACTGGCAGTCAGTTTACAGAGCATTAAATACTTCATCTATGTCAAGTTATTAGGAGTGACTGAACTAAGCAAGTGTGCTACCTTACTACACAGAATGAAAACAGGGTGTTAAAAGTCGAACTGTGCTGCTGAGTGCTCCCCAGCCCCGGTGCTACCGCTGCTGCCGACCTATGAAAGGAATCCATAACCTACAGCGGCCTGGACACCTTGAAAGCCGCTATTACTCACACAATTAAATCAGACGTTTCTTTGATTAGTTCGCTTTTGATTTATTTCAGTGGCGGTAATCCCATCAGGTTAAACCACGAATGTCTTGGCCCTATTCTATCAACATCTCCACCTCTCATTCTGCCCACCATCCCTCATTCTTCCTCCTGCTTCACCCCACACTCCATCTCCTTCGCTCTCCCTCTCCTTTTTCACCTTTCCACCAAAGGACCTAAGGGAAAGCACACACACACAAACACGTATGCCTGTCGAGAGTACACACACACTTATACCTTGATTAAACAGCAGTTCTCTGGCTCTCTCGTTTCCAGGTACACCTCGAAGATCAAGTCCCCAGCTGGAGAGAACTGGGGAGGGAGAAAGAAAGTAGTAAAAATATATAGTTAGAGAGATCAGCTGAATTACAAAAACAACACAGCTGGATTAATTGGCTTTTCTTCTAAATTCCTCCTCCAGTGTGGCATGAATCTAAATGCTGAAAAGTGAGAGAAACAGTGAGAGGATTTGTGAAACGAAAGGTCGTTTAAGAGCTGCAGGCAAACTAAACTCAGCGGCATTAATGGAACGCCAAACCTGGCTAAATAAAGTAGAAATGTGTGAGACAGACACTTCTAAAGGTGGAAGCGCAGGGTGCAGTTTCACCTGCACCGTATTTGTATAGCACTTTCCTTAAACCAGTTACAAAGTGCTTTCACAAAAGACATGAGAGACAGGCAGTCCGTGGAAGTGCTAATCCAGATCTAGAAAATTAACAAGTTAGTTTTCCTTTGGCACGTTAATGTGCAGGTGACCTGGTGGGAGCTCAGAGAACTATAGCATGATGAGAGGGAGGAAGCCACTTCTAACTCTTGTGGCCCTAAAATAACAAAAATTACAGTCATTCAAACAATGGCGTCAAAGCTGTAATTGTGAAAGTGTCACAATCAGATATGGGGTCATATATTCGTTTGCTTAGTACACTTTTCATTCTACTTCTTCATTGTTATATGATGGGAGGAAGACCAGGCACAGACCAGGCACAGTGGAAAAACTTAAAAGCAAAAGGAAAGACAGGTAATAAATGGAAAAACTAAAAAGCAAAAGGAAAGACAGGTAATAAAGATATTGACAAGTTGCTGGAGAAGAAAGCAAATGCAACAAAAAGAAGTGTGAAAATAGTTTGGGGCTAATGGGGAGACTGCCCAGAAGCAAGTAAGAAAAACAGTAATGTTCCATTCCAAATGAGGGCATTTCTAATCTTTACCAAAGTCATACTCTCTCTGCACTCGCCCTGGCTGTAAATGCAAGTATTGATTTTGAAGTGCCACTTCTAACTTGCAAGGCATGACACTGCCTTGCACCTCATTATATCAATGATTTACTTACTCCCTAAGTCTAGCCATAGTGTCCCACTTGCAGGGTGCAGGTCTCCTTATCACTCTGCCTTTAAAAGGAAACAGATGAGGTCAGAACCCTCACCTGCAGGACCCAAGTTCCACAAGACAATCTAGCTGCAAATGTCAAAAGCTGTGTTTTCAGCACAGACTTCATCCTTTACTTGTACTCCTACCTTCCGTGTTTGGCAGCAGTAAGAGTACTTAAGTTGTAACTTTCAGACAGTGAGCCAAGCCTTAGCTCCCTTCAGCGCTTCAGGATTTCCACCACATTTCAACACCAACGTTGGTCCATAAACATTAAAGAGAGCACAAAAGCCAAAGTTTGTGTGGCTTTAACTAGTAAAGGCATGCACAAAAAGTTCAAAATACATTGGAGAGTCAAAACATATCTGTCTGCCATAACTTATTTTCTCTGCATTCAGACAGTTCTGGTTTTATTTGTTTAGGTTTCAGACAACAGTCTCTCAGACTTAGGTTGATTGGCTTCCAAAAATATGACAACTGTGAATAGCCGTTCACAGTCAGATATCAGGTTGTGGCACTATTTTCAGAATAAAAATAACTCTGACATTTCTGAGCTTGTCAAGTGATTCATTTCTATGAGACAAGACTGTACAGGATGAATGCTTGTCGGTTGAGAATCATCCAACACCAGCTTCATGACTGGCTTTTATTAACATCAAGAAATGTATTTTTGTCAAACAACCTTCAGCTAAGCTTCAGCAGATCTTTACATCATTGCAATAGTCCATTGATGCAGCTTATACAAAACTGAGCCACATACAACTATAAATAAACTGTCCTCACGCATCAACTGAAGCCTCTGTGTGTGGCAAAGTGCATTTTTATCAACTACTATTAACTTATTGAGGTGGTTCTTCAGGCTGAGTGCTACCAGAATGAAATGGGTGAATATGATGGACATTTCAGGTTACAACTTTTAATTTTCACTTCATGTTTCACTTCCAAATCAGCAGTTGCCATGACTGGGCTGGGTTGCTCTGGAGCTTTTGTTCCATGGATCCTGCAGACACCGTTGTAAAGCTTTCGAAATGTGGCCTCTATAATGAACCCAGTGAGCGCGACGTTATCTTAACTGATCTAAAGGTAGTGTTGGAAATTCATTTCAGAAGCATGTTTTGTTACATTTCATGACATTCTCTTTTCATCTCAATGGCAGTGATTACATTAAAAGCACTGACAACAAAGAACAAAATCTGTCATCTGTGGCAGCACCACGGCTGGAAAAAAAAAGCCTGATCAATAACTTGACTCATTCCGAGCAAAGCCGTTGGCTGGCCTACCAGCCTGTCAACCTACTTGTGCACACTCTGCCTTTGCACTTGCACTTGCACACTGAATGAGACAAGAGTCTCCCACAAGCAGAGGCAGACATGTTACCGCTGTTTCTATAGCTAAAGCTAGCGAGCTATTGCACAGAAGGAGCCCACAGCAGCTTTCGGTCGCAAGCAGAGGCCGTATTTGAGAAGGTTACAACTAAAAAGAAGTTGAATGCTGCAAGAAGTAAAACCAGAGTTAACATTGGTGTGGCTTTTAAACCACGGTGAGCAGAGAACAAATGGGGCTGAAAAGTGACGCCATGGTGGCCGCATTTCTGCTGGACCAGGTAATTATTATTTTTTTGTTTGTTTTGGGGGGGTAGTCAGGCAGTGTGTGTTGCAGTGTGTTTTGGTGGCGTGGCTTTGGAGAGAAGTCAAAGGAAAAGGGTGGGATTTCTATGGCTGTGCAATCCTTGTGCCCCACAGCAGCAGACGTGTTCTAAAAGCCCACAGACAAAGCGTAAAGAAGGGGAGTGGGGAGCGAGCAGAACGAAGCAGGCATAAACAACTTATTTCAGATTTCAGCAGCTGCAAGTTTAAATTTTTTTTCTCCCCAGTTATCTGAAACTGGTGTGTTTTCTCGTCTGAGGCATCCAGGCATAAAGTGCCTGCTGTAAAGGTTAAAAGGAACAAAGCCCTTTTTATTCACCCGCCTGCTCCTGCCTCCTTCACCTTCCCCTTATCCTCCCCTCCATCCCCTCCTTTTTTGCCAGAAAAACAGAAAACCTGTGATTTCCATTTGGGTCCTGTGGGTCGACTTACCGTGGCGTCCTTCTTTTCGTTCCAGCGTGTGATGAAGCTATTCTCTCTCTCCATCTGTTGCACCTGGTCTTCATTGACCTGTCAGAAACAAAAACAGAGGTGCACACACATCACTTCAAGCTTGACCCCAAAAAAAACTTTCCGATCAACTTAACTACATGTGAGAAACATTAAATTGCTTGATAGAATTGTAAGACCATTTTTGATGTTCGTATTAATTTCAGCACTTAGATATGAGCTGTGGAAGATTAAACCAGGAGAAAGGTATCACATGCAAACTGCAGAACTGACACTTGTAAAACTAATTTCGAGGGGGGAAACCTCGCTACAAGTGCTTGACACAGCGCAGCACCAGCCGAGCTCTTTTCTTTCACAAAGCCCTGTGTGGGAAATGACATTTGTATCTCAACTTTTCTTTAACATTTCATTTTCTGGGAAGGATTTGCTTTGTTAAAGTTATACAAATGGCAAAGAAGACTGAGGGAGGGAAAAAGACTCCTCACAACCTCATTGTGTGTGTGTTTAGGCCTGATAACGGGCCCCATCGACAACATCCGGCGCTTTAATTAGCGATACGTCTCACCCGTTTTATGTCACAGTGTGCATATTTACTGCTATTGGGCTTCTGATTGGTTTGGGTTTAATGGCTATTTGTCATGCGAATGATGGCGTCCCAAGCTGATTTGGAGTCAATGCTCCTTCCTTAGCATTCCACTAGGAATTAGAAATCACTCTGCGCTGCCTATCCCATAAGCCAGACAGGTCTCCAAGGGTAACACTGATCCCACACCCCCACCCCGTCCGCACAACAGCAAAGTCAAACTTATTGGAGATTTGGCAGCAGCACTTCTGCTCCCTTACTTCAGCAGATGGTTGAAAGTAAGAGAGTGTAACTAAAGTCGCGCCTGCTTGGTTTAGATGTGCAATATGGTAATATCTGAATGGTTTAAATGTTTTTTCAATGGTTACTGTTCACTGATTGGAGAGTCATTCAAAAACAGTGGAGCCAAGTACATGGGAGTGGATGTACCAACCCCTTTCCTACAATGAAATATCTTCTCGATGACTTGGCCAAAAAGCTACAAGTATTGATAAATAAACCTGGGCAGTACAGTCATGAATACATAATAGAATATACTGTAAATTACGGAGGTAAGTATGTGTCATGTACAATATGTACTGCAGTCATTTTTGTACTGTAATGTCAGAATGTCAATACACTATAGAGAAAGAGTCATAACTGCTGCGCATCATCACTTGTTTTGGATAAAAAGATCACTGTAGTCAACTTATGAAAACAGTTGTATAATGTCTTTTGTGGCTCATGAAGAAGCTTTGTCTGTCTACACATGATGTAAGCTCAGTATAAAGTGTAGGTCGCCTGTGTTTTGGCATTGAACAACAACAATGATCCTCGGGTTGTTTCTTAGTCAGAATGGTGGTCCCAGTGTCACAATTGGGTAAAAATCCCCCGCAGTAGATACAATCACAGCTAATGTTAGTTATGTAATGGCATAAAAACAAATAATCAGATTGTCCAGTCATATTTTACCTTCTCTTATTTTTTCGTGAAGTTATGTTGCTATCATCAAATTGCCTCCTCACTTATTAACCGAGTTATAAGCCTGGCACAGTTTTTGCCTCAAGCCAAAGATGTCCCAACCATGAATTGTTATCTTTTAGTCCAAGGTGACCTGGTTTTTTTTTTTATATAATCTGTGTTTTCTAGAAACGTGTCATGCCTGTGTGTGCACAATACAGTCGGCTCTCATGTCTGTTCATTCTACCAGCAATAACCTGAGCAGAACGGTTTTCTTTAAAAACAAATTTCATGATGCGTGTTAATGCAGTAAAAACTAGATGTAATCCCACTTACTGGTGGAAGACCTCCATCATGCAAGCACACTTAGTCTACTGTCAACTTCCTCATCGTTTCCCAATCATTTCCTGTCCACTTTCGTCAAATGACAAAAATATACTTTGACTTACACTGAAGAGTGTGATGTAGTTACTGATGAGGTCACAGACCACGCTAATTTCCTGTGGGGTTTGTCCACGAGTCTGGAACAAGCAGGATGAGAAGGCGGAGGCCAGTTTTTCACTTGGCATGTGGTTGAGGTGGGAACACTGTTGAATCCTGAATCACAGGCAGAGAAGTGTTTAGAAAAAAAAACAAAACGTATGTACCTACATCAAGAACAAATAGCTCATATCTCTTTCAGCACACCTTTCTCATGCCCACACATAGTGTACAGTCAGACACAGGCACATGCAGGATTTAATGAAACGCTAGGCCTCAGTCCAAATTCAGCTAAGGGCAGTAAAGTCTTCTCCAAACAGTCAACATCATTAACGTAATGCAGCTAAATCCCAACTATTCACTACAGGTTTCTGAGGGAATGATGTGCAATATCAGTGGAGACATTTGTATGTGAGTGTAACTGTAGGCCTGTGCAGAAGGCTGACACTACGCAGTGTATGTGTGCATTACTAAAAATCATCAGCACTGCAAATGGCTGAAACGTATGATTTTCAAAACAAGACATAGACAAGGGGCAGAGGTGGAAAGTACTACGGACCTCAACTGTGTGTGTGCAAATAGCCTAAGTTCTAAATAATGAGTCACTCAGTTTGTCTTACTGGGAAAATGCCAACAAATAGTACAAACAACGTGGAGCTGATTCATCATTTTCAAGTCAAGGGCACTGTTGCGCCAGGGACAAAAAAAAACAAACAGCCATTTCTTTCTCAGCTTAGATACACAAAATGTACAGAACACAACCTGATTGATAAGAAAAAAGTATCGCACGTATAGGAGCAGAGGGGAAAGTGGGTCATTAGCAGAGCAGAAGGGACAACACGCTAATCAGCAGGTGACAAACAGCAACCCTAATGTTGCTCAGGGCACAGGACCTTTGAGCATCACAGCACATCTGTGATGCAGTGTGGCGTCTGTGCTGCTACACCTGTTCTGTCAGGCACAAGTCCAATCAAAAATGTGATTAAGACAAAGGCCATTTTGAAATTTTGGTTGGTGTTTTATTACAATATAATGAATCATTTGGCAAAAAAGGGTGCAGTGTACAAATAAATCAGTCTCTTTACTCCACTGAGTGCTGTCAAGTTACTGCAACAGTGTCCAGTGGCTGTAGTGCTGTCTGTCTAATTTATTGAATTGCTTGTTTATTCAAACCATGTGAACTTTATAACACAAATGCCTCTTTCAGCTAATTTACCTTGAAAGGGACCTTGAACCTGAAATAGCGCCAACACACAAGCTCTGAAAGTGTCTGCAGTGTGTACCTGTAGAGATGCTGCAGCAGAGCGTTGAGGGTTGACCTGTTTATCTTGGGCAGACTCTCTATGAAGGTGGAGTACTTCTTTACTCTCTGCCTCTCCTCCTTCTCATCTACACAACCACACAGATGAGAACTGCTGCATATAATACCACATACAACAAACTGAGACACGCCCATGGGGACAGAGAAAATGAGCAACATACTGTACTTTTTAAATCATTTGGAATAATGTCTCTACTGTCCAAAGACCATGAATATTGTAATGCTACAAAGCATAAAACAAGACGCGCATTACTAGACTTCATCTTTTCACTACCTATGCTACTGTAAAGAACCTATGCTACCGTTTCCGCTCACATACCCAGAGTTGACACCCAGTATGGATAGAGCTCCTTGGTGAGCAGTGCGTCCTCTGCTTGGGATAAGAAGTTCTTCAGGGTGTCTGTCACGTCCTCAAGGCGGTGCTCAGTCTCCCTCAGCTTGACGTTCCGAGCGTTGTGTGTGAAATCCTGCAGGAGTAGGGCGACTCGACCAGGGTCCCCGGGCCTCTGGTAGACCCCCTCCTGGCATAAGCCTGGTTACAAAGCCAAAAAACAGATAGATAGATGGGTTAATAAAAGACTGACAGATTCATTTATCCTAAAACCCATAACTTTATCACATCTGCATCATAAAGTCTGTCTGATGATTAATACCTTGCAAATGTGTAGTGCCTGCAACAGAAAGTGTCAGTGCATATTTTTCTATATGATTAAATACAATTACAGGGCATTAACCAACCTTATGGACACAACAACATTACATAAGAACATTTGCATCTAAATTACAGAGAATAAAATTGTCAGAGCGAGGCAGATTAACCTGTACCACTTTACAGTTTCAGTTAAGTCTACTTTAGCGCCAGTTCCTCATTACACTGCACACTACTTACCATGCTACTTTAAGTGCCCTTTATACATTTATCATGCACTGATGTAATAGTGTAGTGAAAAGTTTGACTTCATTTTCTCCATTTCTAAAAACGAGAGATAGAAAAATGTCACAGCATAGTGATTCTAGACCTCACTAGAAAGCACAGAGTTCTCATCACAGTGCAGAGTACTGCATGAATCAGCTCCTCAAGGGGGGGGGGGAGAAAAAAAAATCACAATAATAATCCTGCAGAACTTATTTTCTAAAACTTTTCTGCCTGTGTATTTAATGCAACTTACCATACTGAGTGACAAAAGCAATGCAGCTGTCGACTATAATAGGGACACCATTTTTAGTTAGCTGTTGGTCGCTGAGGGCCTTGCCATCTGTGCCGGCAGCCAGCGTGATGGCAGTGTGCCACAGTGTAAAGTCCATCTTGCTGAAGCCATGGATGTAAACTGTTCTATTAAAAAGACATGAAAAACATCATTGCTAATGAATCTAATTTCCAGTAACAATATGGTGTTTTATATTTTGAGACCTAAAGTTGTTTATATGTTTGGAAAAGCACTGCTAAACCAACAAGATTAAAGGAATCCAAATATACAGAACACACGTCTACAAACGAGCACCAGCGTCCCCTGAGGTTTGATCAAAAACACACGAGCGAACAGCAATTAAAGGAGTACGCACAAAGCCTTGCTGTGTCACTCCAAAACTGTTGGTGTGTGTGAGGGCTATGATGTGATGGTGCCGTCTCACCTCGTCTCTCCAACTGAAGCAGGCAGCTAGGTTTAATTACCTCGGGTGGGTACAGTAGGTAAAGTGTCTTCTGACTAACAAGACTAAGACGGAATCAAAGCTAACTGCGTTGCATAATGCATAGAGCTGCTGTATCACAAATCCACTGCCAATTAGCACACCTTTTTTTTTTTCTTTCAAAAGACTGACATACCTTCTGCCCTCCACCATCAGCAGCACTTGGATCTTGTCCTCACCCTCGGTATGTGTGGAGACAGCTGGGGGGGTAAAGGGCAACGAGTTGTAGTAAAAATGCTGGCTCCTAAACTGTGTCCATTCAAAAGAGCAAATGCGCTAATGCAAAGTAATGTGTTGGCAACAGTTTAGAATTGACATTTGCAGTTGTTCGATCTCTGCCAGAAGCACAAAGTCATAGAAGCTTTCACCATGAAACAGAGAAGTGGATGCATTCATCACCCGTCACTGAAAGGTCTCCGTTCTCTTACGCATTCATTTACGTTTTAAGACAATTACGGCAAATAATACACAGCACAATATGTCTAGACATGTCTGACTAGTCTTTTCAAATGTGTAGGCATATAGTGGCTAGAAAAGTCAGGGAAAGGTACAGAAGTGGAGAATGCCAAATGCCTTCTACCGGAGTTAATAGCATTTTCTTGACGTGGGAAATGAACTCAGTTTTTGTGCCACTGACTTTCTGAAGCTGGTGTAAACAGAGACAAGCAGGTGCAAACAATAAAACTTTACATAAAGTTGGTCTAAATGCAGCCAAATAAATGTACTAAGAGCAGTAATGAGTTTTTTGTCATTCATCTGTTCAATCAATCTTTTCTGAAAGGACAGAAAAACTGGGTTAAGGAACTTGAAAGCTCTTCTGCAGGATATAAATCCATATTGTACAATTTGCTGCTGTATCTATGGACCGATTTTATTTATTTTTTATTTACTGTATACTTTAAATGGATAATCTTACAAATCATCACATCACAGAAAAAGCAACCTTCTCTATTCCCTCTGCCAAACACCACAGCCTGCTTCTGTAGTGAACACGCCAATCAATAGTCTGCACTGGCAGAAAGTTTCATTTGGCTGTGGGGACAGAGGACTGATTCAAAATATTACACACAAAAGTGTCACTGTGGCTAATAAACCCTTTGTATGTTGAACTAATCAGCAAAAACAATTAATTCCCAAAGTCTCTTTAAAAAAAAAAAAAAACTTGCATTTTATTTTCTCTGGCAGTGCGTAGTAGTTCTGATATAAACAACAAAAGAACGCAGAGAACATTATTGATTTTGACTTGTGAGACGTTGATTAACTGTGTTATCAGGTAAATGCAGAACACTTGTCATAGTCTGAAGAAACACACAGTGATCCCCTTTTATCCATCTTACAGCACAGTGGGAAATGTTTTATTACTTAATATTTCTGTGGGATAAGGAACTTTGCCTGAGGCCACATAATCTGTACTGGGCATCCTGCAGATTCTGGGAGCTGGTGCTGCATTTCTGAGGCTGTCACTGATACAAAGTAAATGTTATATAAAATATGCTAACAACATATCTGCTGATTGCTTCTTACTGTTTAAGAACTGTGATAAACATATAGGCATGTGCACAGATATGCCCCAGGTGGTGCTCAAGCATCTGCCCTTTGACACTTTGACTTGATAAGTGCCCTTTTTGCAGGACAGTTTTGTTTTGTAACTACTTGTAATTTTATATTTTAGTTTTTAAACAAAGTTCATTGCGGTTCATTTCATAAACTTTTATCTAAAACTGTGCCGTAACTATGCCTGACAACAACTCTTAGACTATGTATTACTATTAAAGGCGTGTTAAGCTATAGCTCATTGGCCTGCATCAACAAATTGTGCAAATATAGCTTACAATATAGCAGAGAAGTTGGAATTGAATAAATTATAATAAGACACAATGCAAAGTTTAAGTTGAGCTTTTTAAATGTCAATCATAACCTGTCTTAGGAGCACACTGGTTCAGCTTGTATTAACTTGAATAAACTAACCTTATTAAAAGAGTGTGCACTGTGCATCAACAGGCTGCCACAAAATAAAATATGACTGCTCAGGATTGTGTATTGGCATTTACTCAGTATTAGGTTATAGAAAATGACAAAATAAAAATCTAATATTGCCTTTAAATGAACCTCAGTGTGGACATAGTGATGAAATCTGACCTATATATGATACTGTCCTACAGTACTGTATCGTTTAGTAACTGTCACAAAGGAAAAAACCACTGAACTCAATGAATGAGTTCAAAATTAATATCTTTACATTGTTTGAAAATGTTTCATTTCACAAAGATCTGGGTAAGAAGGCTGATTTCTGCACTGTGATGGGTTAATGATTGTTCAACTCGACAGGAATCTTTTTCTGTTCTTATTGTTGTCTTTGCTGAATTTATTCATTTATTTAAATATCATTTTGCAAAACACAAAGTTACGGCATGCTTCATAGTCAAGAGGAACCAATAGTCCACTGCTGACAGAGATCAATAAAACACTGTGAACATTAAGTTTAAGGCAGTAAAAACTTATGGGGTTGATACAAATAAGACTAAATGCCAGACAAGGCAATTAAGGACAGAATGAATAAAAGCTACAAATTGGAGCCTGGAACATGCATCACACCTACAATGCACTCCAAAAGCAGCTTGAAGTGCTTCCTGTAAGAAATGTACTTATTTTATTTGAAAAGTCTTTTTTGTTTAATCCCTCTGTGCTACACGGGGCCACCTTTCATGTGCTGGTGTCACTGTAGAGAAAATAACAGTTAATCCCGTGTCACAGACTGTGATTCCTAAAGGAACGCTTTCAATGCTCCAGAACCAAAACGTAGTCCCCTTCTGGCGCTAATGGCTCTCCAGCTGCGACAAATATAGTTCGAGAGAGCCGGGAATAAAAATGAGCACTACTGCAGTTCTTTACCCCGCCCCAGGTGAGAAGATTGGGGCAGCACTTTGTGCAATTTGATCCACTTCGGGTAGTAAACGGATTAAAAAGATCCCTTGATTCTTTTCTCCTTCTGTTCACACATTACACTGCTGCAATCAATTGAAATGTTCCAAAGTCTTCATTATCTGCCAAAGTAGGTGTGAACATTTGAACCTCCAGCCTGAAATGGCAGCTTCCCATCACTCGTGTTTTGTTTTAGTGGGCAGTGGAAACAGTGCCGTCATCATGCTGTGAATATTCAAAACGTTACATTGAAGGCGACAGATATCACACTGCTCTTTGAAAAATCATGTTCAAAGATGATTCTGTGAGAACAGCTCAGACAGATCTGAACCCTATTTTGACCGATGCATTACGTCATATTAACATCTTCTCACACACTCTCATACAGGCCTGTAGGCACCTCTTGGGTTTATTCATACATCCTCACATCTGTTTATAGTTTCGGTATTAGGGTTAGGTAGCCTTAAAGGTTTTTAAGCAATCCCTATTAAGTTTCTAATGGATCAAAATGTCATGAAAGAAACTTAAAACAGAGGAAACAGTCTCTAGACATCTGCTGAAACAGACTCTGGTCAGAATCATTTGTCAAGCAGGCAAGAGTTACAGTACCTTAACTCACAGAAAACCATGACGACGAGAAAGAAACAGTGAGAGAAAAGCATTTCGACTGCTACCAAGAGGCTGAGTGTGTCATCGATAAACTGACAGGAAGCAGATAGAATTAGGAAGTTTAATGTTTAGGAAGCTGAAATATTAGCAGGGTTGCACCATCCAATTTTGCACCAATACTTACTGAGCTCCTGTAGCTGTTTGAGTTGAAGAACCTCCTCCTCTCCCTCCTCTTCTCCTGGGCTGAAGTGCAGGACAGAGCCTTCCAACATAAACCAGCCCATCCTCCAGTGGTACAGGTCATGGCCTTCTTTGTAGAAGAGTCTGCCGATCAGCTCGCTGTCTTTCTGCACCAGTCCCTCCGTGTTAGATGGGATGAAGCACTATGAGTGAAATAGTAAACAAAACTTTACGGATGAAAAACTTGTACAAGAAACAGCGTGAAACTTTTTCACCTTAGCGCGTCACCTCAAACCAACACAAAAACACAACATGTTGCAGCCTTCTTCTTAAAAGGATTAACCTTTGCTCGGTTTCTGGTCCGTGGCTGAATTATTTTCCAAGTGCATCTCTCCCTCGCACTCGGCTCCGTCTGGCCATTGTTCTGCGATTCAAATGGAAATATGGAGGTGTGGAAGTCCAATGTTACAGATGGAGAGACATATGGACTAATGCAGCTACACCTCCCACTATCTATGACTAGGTTGCCTGGGATTAAACAGATAAAAAGGGAATATTTATGTAGGGTGTTATTACAAGATCCTGTCAGCATGTCTGGGAAGAGATAGCAAGACCACTTGTCTTATTGAAAGAAGCACAGGCAGCACGGGGGCTCATTGACAATGTGTACAACTGTATGCGTGTTGCAACCTGGCACACAGAATAAGAAGTGTGAGATGGATGTGCTGAACTGCTGCAGTACATTCACACAGTTTCTTCTTTCCAACTTCAAGTTTAAAACCAAACTTATAAAGGAGGCAGTGACAACAAGCGTGTTTGTGTATGCTGTATGCAAAGTGTGTCACCTTTGTTAGCGCCTGGATCCAGTCACTCTGTGCTTCCTGTGTCTCAGCTCCAACAATCAGTACTCGCTCCGTCTGTAGGTACAGCTCCACGGTAAACACAGCCCTGCCAGAGACACGCCGCCCACTGTTAGACATTTGGAAGGAAAACTGTCCTCTCGAACGCGCACACAAATACGGTACTTTAGTACATTTGAGGTTTCTGTACTTTGAGTATTTTCTTTTTTTTGCTACTTTAGGCAAATAATCTTTTCACTCCACTACATTTGCGATAATTGTTTACTTTTCAAAATAAGAGTAATAAACCAAAAAAAATAATACAGCATAATCATGAGACTTTATTGATCCTTTGTGGGAAATTCACAAACTACCCAGCAGTACTTTAAACTGTAAATATACAAGTTTGTTAAAATTAGCTCCACCTTTACTGGCTACAAAATTAAATCCGATGAACACAATAACGCATCAGTGATATGAAATACGTTGATGTGAAATGTGCCATTCCGTATAAGAAGTATTTTACTTTTGGTACTTTATTTTGATGCTAATACTTTTGTGAAGTAACATTTTGCATGACCTTTATGTGCAGCAGTACTGTAACCTGTGCTACGGCTACTTACTGCAGCTAAAGAATCAGGGTGCTTCTTCCAGTGCTGGTTATATACACACATCAAAAACAATTCTTCAAACTATAGCAGTATGCATGCACTCGTTCATCCACACACACACAAACTCGCAGGCAAGCCCCCGGCCGTCGGAAGCAAAAGGGCAGCTATTAATCTTTGTTGGTCTTTCTCCTCGTGTCGTCTTCGTCTCCATCCCCTCCCTCTGCCTCTCTGACTCTGTCTCTCAGTGAAAGTACACAGGTCAGAGTATCACTATCTTAATGGTCTGAACACACTGCCAAGCGGTAGATCCTTTTCCACAAGAACACTACAGTGAGGCTCTAAATGCTACAGCGACGGGTGTTTAAGGTGGCGTGTCACGGGGGGTCACGCCAGAGCTGAGTCGCTCTCTTCTCATGCATGTCAGGGGAACAGGTGAGACATGGGTGTTTGTGTGCCCTTGCATGACCCCACACACCTTCCTCCTTGCGCCCCCCCCCTCCCACAAGTGCTTGTTAGAGAGGCTCCCAGAGGGAGAGCGAGGGAGGGGTAGAGGGGGTACAGTGATGTGCCAGGCAAACGGTATAATAAAGACAGGACAGGAGGACTAGACAGAGGGGTAAGAAATGAATGCTGCATTGTAAGCATCCCAGAGGGACGGAGGGAGTAGCTGGGGAGAGAAGAGAGAGAGGAAGTGAGGCAGAAAGACAGTAAGAGTGAAAGGTGCTGAAAAAAATGAGCATGAAAAATGTAACAGGAGAGCTTGAGGTATGAGACAGACCATATGGCCATCATCGCACATTCTTGTACAAAATCTTAATCAACTTTTACACTCCTGATCTCCCTTTTGGTGTGTTCATGTGCACATTACAGAACTCAGTTACAGGGAGACGTGCAGGAAAAGCTGCAGCTGGTCAGTGATCCCTTTTCTCCCTTGCCAAATACTGTAATAATGAACCTAACTGGCATAACTGAGGTATTTTAGTGATTGTTATCTTGGAATATACAGAAATATGTGCGCAAATATGCTAAAGTTTTCTCTTTTTTGTGCCAGAGCATCTGTACTAATGTTGCAAAGTGAGATGCTACAGTAAATTTTAAACCTTTTAAATACCACACAGAATGTGATTTAATCAACCTCTCCAACTTCCTTACAATACACAAGCATGTGGGTTTTTTTTTTTTTAGAGCAAGTACTTTAACAGCGCCTACAGACACTCTTACCTGTGAAGGAGTCTGCTGCACATGATCCACCTGTGGTTTCAACATGCATCGAGTTACCTATATGCATTTCTGGAGTCTTATTTTCTCCTCAAGGCTTTTGTGTGCTCAGACAAAGTCTTAATTCCCTGGCCCTCATCTATCTATCTATCTATATATACCCATCTCCCTGGCAAAGTTAGCAGTCTTTTAAAAACTGCTGTTTTTGCTGGTGTGTGTGAGAGAGAGAAGAGGATGGCAGGAAAAAGGTGGTAGTAGTGAAATGGTGCAAAAAGCAGCTGTAAAGATGAAAACCAGAAACAAGAAAAGAACAGAACAGTTTATTTCCAAGGGTTTTTAGTTGAATTTGAAGGTCAGAACAGACTTAAAATATTCTTGTCGAAACAGGCAGTGAAAAACCGATGCCAATTTATCACCAGCCAACATGCTCCCTTTGCATTAATTCCTTAGGAGACGGTTTGTAATATTCATCCAACTAGCAAACGTACGCGTCGGGGCCGCGCTGTAATTCACGGTGTCCTCTGCCACGGTGAAATTACCCAAATGCTGTGTTTAATGGAAACGACACCTACGGCCTCCTGTAGCACGGCGATAGGCTGCTGGTGGGAGTGTGTCATCTGCACACGTTAATATTCATGAAAAGAAGACAGTCAAGAGGTGACGCATCCCTGCTCTCTCAGCGTGCACGGATGCTGGGAACTCTGTAAGTTGCACAAATGAGAGGAGTGAGGCAGAGTTTTATCTAGTGGAACGCACACCATTATGAGTGTTAGCGATGGAGTATTAATAGCTTTTCTGGGGGTGAAGTCATGAATTGTAAACGGGGTGTATGTGCTTAGCTAAAAATGGCACGTCACTGACACATTGTTATTATAACCTCTCATGACTCTGTATTATGCGCCCAATTCAACAGAAAGGTCATAGTTTTAGCTGGCCAGATGTGTTTCTCATGGCTGTATAAATAACAAATAAAAGCCCTGTTACTTCTTCATAACATCTGCTGCTGTCATTAAGGACCTGGCATACGCTTTAATCATAATCCTTTATCAGACTCCTCGCTAAGAACTGAAGCACACACAATACAGAACGACAGGAACGATAGGAGACGGGGTGAACAGGAAAGGATCGAGACATCTGTTTCTTCTTTGGGTGTTTGCAACTCTTCCAGAAGAAATAAAGAAAAGTTTGTTGTCAGAGCAACTTTTTAACTGAATCCTCATCTGAGCAAGGAGTGAGGAAAACGGCAGGGGAGGTGGCATGGCAAAGTGAATGAAGGGAGAGCGGATACAGATGCATTGTTCGCCTGCAAAGTAAACAGGAAATATAGTGCTCATAAAGCCCAGATAGGTTCTGCTAAACTGAATAATGCTCAAGTTAAGATTATGCTAATGAGACATATGACAAGGAAGAAAAACACAGCAGAAGCCTGTGTGTACATGTGTGTGTGTTTATGTCCTTCCACCAGGCTGAAGCTGTGGAATATATGAATAATCTGTGCATTACAATACATTACAGAGCCAAATAAAATCAAATCAAATATTTAAAACACTTGCAAAACCAACTCCATGAACTGAACTAAAATAAACATTTCTACAAAAACAAAACCTTTTGTTTAAGTTTTCCAATGGTTTTACGTATTGTGTTATTGTGTTTATGTGTGTGTGGTCATACCCAGCTCCAGTGACCATCTCCGTTTTACTGACAGCCAGGCTAACCACCTCCGTGACGTGCACCCTGCCAATGGCCGATGGGCTTCGTTCGCTCTCATAGTAACTCAGGAAGCCGCCTTCCAAGATGCACCAACGGCGTGCCATTTCTGAAATGTACATGTGCATTAGAAATATACACAGTCAGGTAAAATACACACTCAACATATTCATGCTTAATGTGACAAAACAACAAGCAACAGCACAACTCAGCAGTATATTACATTGGGTAAAGGTTTGTTTTTTTTTATGGCTGATGGATTTAACTTTTCATGGGTAAATGGAAGTGTGTTATTTCTTCTCTCCAAAGTTGGTCCTACTTTAAACATGATGTAGTTAGGTTTCAGTACTTGAACCAAGACAGGCACTGTCCTGGAGAATGTGCCATTTAATCTGATGCCAACTTCACACAAACGTGCAGCTCGTGTTTGCCTCGTGTACTTCAAGCATCCAATATGTTTGGTGCCTCCATCGTAGAGCCACACATTTGCATACTGGCAAAACTGAGCAAACTGACAATTGTCTGTAGAGTCAGAAAAAGAAATTAATTAGCGCCTGCGATATCAGTGATTAGTTTGTGTACAATTAGCACCACTCCAACCCTATTTAACACGGCTAATGACTCTCTACAAGCTAAGACAGCACTACCACGAAATCATTTAAAAGTTCCGAGATAAGACACTGTGCACTCAGCTTTCACACATGAACGGGCGTACGGAGATGTGGCAGTGTCATTGCCTGTCTCATACAGCACCTGGCTTGGGTTTTATTGTTCTTGAGGGTGCAGTCGTTTCTATCCGAAGCCAAACCAAGCAGATGTAAAATGATCCCACCTCCTGAAGGACAGGGTTTCAGACCAACATCTTTCCAGAATCACCATCCAAAATACACAATTAGTAAAAATACAGTCTAAAGACAACTGGCAGACTGTGGTCTTCATTTCCAAATTGACAAAGGGAGTAACATTTTTATGCTGAAGACCAGAAGATCTAGATTGTCCACGTTACAATTTTAACTTTCTGACTGCAATCAAATGACCATATAATCTTCCAGTCCATTAGACAACTGAGTCAAACATACAGTGCTAGATCAGGGCAGATGAGGGCAGAAGCACAAAATTACAATAGTTAAGAGTACTGAGCAGATTTCAACCAAGATGGAAAACACACAACAGTGTCTTTCATGACTGTCTGACTGTGCGATTTACATAGCCAATGAGCATGAAGTTCATAAAAACATACCTAATTTTGGATTTTCAAAGTCACTGTGCCATCTGCTTTTTTGTTCTGCAACAAACACACACACACACACACACTCACTCAGAGGCCCCACCCACCCATCCACACCCTCTGTCGCTAGCGACTCCAAAGTTTCCACTGTATTCATCTCATGAATATGCTAATTGTGCATCCCTCTGCCAACTGTGTGTGATGTTTTTGAAGGAACAGATATAGTTCCAATAAAAAAGGAAGTGTCTACAACTGGCTGTTAAAAGAAAAAAGATGTGATAAGCACAGAAAAGGAGAATGTCAGTTTCACTGTATTCAGCCTTGCGCTGCCTCTCTGTATGGCCCCTAATGACTTTTTCTGTCTTTTCTTCCTGGAAAAAAAGTGGACACGATTCTGCAAACAGCTTTAAAATGGAAAAATGACTAATATTTAGTTGCTTGCTGTGGCATTTAAAAAAATACTGTTCTTTTGACCCCACTTCGGTTAAAAACATTGTTCCAGCAGCTGAAGAATCCTCATCTGTATCTGAAAACAACTGTGGTGTGGTTGTATGGGTGTGTGCGGGACAGAGAGAGAGACCGAGTCTGGTATTTAAAGCCATTACCAGCCCAATCTGTCCGACAGGATGCTAAAGATCGCGATGCACTTCACTTCTGTTGCAAATGTGTCCCTGGGCTGCTCTGGTTTTGCAGAAAATGTCATGTCTATCATTTTTTTGCTGGAGAATAGTTGGGTTCTGCAACATATTCATGTAATTTTGCCTTCCCTCCCTCTGTCCCTTTTCTAATGGGGTAATAACTGAATAGTTTCATTTGTGCCACCTGAAACCCTCTCACAATCATTTTCTTAAGAGGCACACATGAGTTTCTAACTGAAGTAAATTTCCGTCATAAGCTGCTAGAAAGCTGTAATGTCAGTGATCATCAGGATAATTTGCTTTATAATGGTCCCCATAGTTGCAGAGGTTATTGGGGAGTTTAGGTTATGTATGAACTGATGCAATGCCATTTACAAACAGGCATCATCTGGGACAATGGAACTCAAACAGACAATCTCTAAAAACGGAGGAGATAAAACAAGGATTTAGGCCCAATCCCATTTCTTATTTTTCACCCCTACCCCTCTTTGAGTGCTCTCCTCCACTCTGTTTTGAGTTAACCTTCAAAACAGAGTCATAAGGAGCAGTGGTTAAAATCCTCCCTTATGAAATGGGGCAACTATGACGGTAGTTTAGTAAACAGACATGACAACTTGTAGCTGGAAATGATGAACCGCACAATGCTCTGGCAATTTCGCTTGTGTGGTAAGTAAGTACCGGTTTACAATTTCTAAAAGCAAGTAAGAAAATTTCAAGGACAGGAATATGTTGTTGACATCAGGGAATGTTGGTGGAAATGTCTAAGGTGTGTAGCATTTTGTTGTAGTTAGCCTCATATCACTCAGTTTTGAGTCTGAAGACCCTTCGTCTGAAGGTCTATGTAGCCTTACCACCTCACCCTACCCCTCCATCCTAAAAAAAAAATAAAAATCACTACATGTGAATGTGCAAAACAGAGGGGTAGGCCGAAGTGGTAGGGAGAAAGGGATGAATTGTGATTAGGCCTTAAACACCAGCAGAGACTAGGAGACACAGAAGACACCATTTTGTTTTAAGGTGTTATACGACAAACCATTTGGGAACCAGTAGTCAAGAGCATGTAAAGTCCTAGTGGGTATAAATCTTAAAACATACATGAGGGCACCCGTGTGTTTCTTCTTGTCATCAGAATGAGCAGCATGCAGATCCTGTCTCCTTGAACGGACAACGTCTGACAAAATCAATTGAGGCTAAGGAGAAAAAATAATAATTTTAATTTCCTCTCCATTCCAAGGACAAAGACACTCAAAATCCCACTGTGAATCCGAGAGGCAAATTGCTGCGGGATCCTGGGTGGACATGAATGGGCTCACCACTCATCCAACCAGCTTCTGAAGAATTATGCTAATAATGGCAAGCTCGCACCCAGGCACGGGCCCACATAAGGCCTTAACATGCCTAGAAAACAGACAGCTGGGAAGGGAGAGGGATTAAAACGGGGTCAAAAAGTGAAGCAACACTACCAGTGTTTGACAAATGTAATTTCAGATATGGTTATCTCCCTTGGGTTTGAACTGTGAATGAATATGAGGGAATTCATAGATTAATGAGATGAACTATTAAGTCAAGAAGTAAAAAAAAAAGGGATCTCAAACCAGGCAGAGAGTTGCACTGATATGACCTGAGACACCAACCAGTGGTGTGGTTGCCATTTCCATACCGTAATGACTGCAGTGTAAACGTGGCATAGCTGCAGTGAGTTTTGCTCAGTTGAATGTAACCATTATTCAGCTATGTTGCAATTTGTGTCATCAGTTATTTCCTAACACAGCCGTGAATGCCTCTGGATCTCTTTAATATTTTTCACCAGGAAACTGGCTTTTTCAAAAACCCACATGTCACCAAATCATGAGCATCCTTCTTCCTTCTTTGTTTGTGGTTCAGCATTTCCCTAGCGGGTGGGACAGCACTAGCTTCTACACAAGCACCGGGCGCAATCGGGGGAACAATAGTGCTTGATTTACAATTAAGCAGCTGCGTCCATTGCCAGCTGTTCCTCACACACTGCAACAGACCCGTGGCCCAGCCGTTCGCCACAGGAGTCCACAACCAGCCGCCAGAGACAACGCTAGCGGAAGCCAGCCGTGGTATATCCCTAAACCAGCTAAATTGGGCCAATTAGCTTTTACGCCAAGAGTGTTCCTCGCATCGCATTTTTCCAAAGAAAAAAAGGCCTCCAAGTCTACAACGTGCAATCTCTCTCTCTCTCTCTCTCTCTCATTCTTCTCACCTTCCCCCTCACTTCAGCAATTTGTGAAATTTGCCAAATGCTCTAAGTATGTGAGATGAGTAGGTTGATTAGACTAATCATCAAGCCATCAGTGAGGCAGTTATTATTGCTCATCAACTGAATGGACCGATGTATTTACTCAAATGTTTTGACTCTGATTGTGTCTCAAGCTTTATTTTTTAACTCCCCCAGATTTACTCAATGTCCCACTAAACTTTTTATCAGCATTGCACAGAAACCCATTTCATTATGAATCAAAACAGCAGGCTCTGCCCCCTTTCCGCTGAATCGCCCTCTTCCCTTGCGCTCTCTCCCACCTCTCCCCCTTTCTGCCAATCTTCTAGCTATCGCACCATCAGACTAAAATATCAGTGGTGAAGACATCTGCTGGACAGTTTGTCAGGGGGGATGGAAATGGAAATCGAGAAACTGAAGGGATCTGAATGATCTGTCTGTGCCAGAATTACAGCCCACTTCATTACAAGGAGGAATGGACAGATATGGTGAAGGGGTAAAAAAAAAAAAATCTGCCATGTATTTCTGGCCTCAGCAACAGCACCACTCGCTCATTTTGCCAAACGGAGGCACTGTAATATAAACACAGATACTCCAAAAAGCATAATAGATTAGCACAAATTGTGGCTTTGCAAACTTTTCATAAACTATAAAAACATTAATGTGACTACTTAGACAGCTAATTCTTAAAAAGTTTTGTTTTATCATCAAAAACCTGACTCCAGCTTTAAAAGTACTTCTCTCCCTTTTCTCTCCACAACGCCCTCCTCCCCATTCTTTCCCCGGCAGTTGTGAGTTACTGTTGCAGGCGAAAACAGAACGCCGTTGATGAGGAAAAGACAAAACTAATCAGAAATTACGGGTGCCATTTCCCCGCTGCCACTCACCATTTCAGACAGTAACTGCCTACTGTCTCTCATTTCCTCCCAAGACTCTCACAAGCACGCAGACACATACAGATGTACACAAAGGAGGAACACACTCTTTAATGTGAGAGTAGCATGAGTCACTCCTCTGCCTGTTTAGTGCAAGGAGGTGGGGTGGGGGGGCTTCATTTATGCTGGAATCAACTGTGTAAACCGGATATGGAGAGGGAGTTCAACAGCACAGCAAACAGAGTGGATCCATGCCGGAGAATAAACCAGTTCAACCTTGATTTAGGCACAAATAAAACAACAAGGACTGTTTTTCTAATCCTAATCTATATTCCCAGCAGCATCTAGAATGAACACGGTGCCACTAAATGCTAAGCAGCACAGTATTTTATTTCATTACGGTGCACCAGCTCTGTGATCCCCCATGCCACCTCTGTCAAGGCCATTACCGGAATTGCTTGGCAAATTAATTTATGTCATACTCTGAATTTAGTTCTCATCAGTGGAAGCACAAAGGCCTATTGGAGTAGTCTCCAGACAGAAAAAAAGAGCCAAGTTTAAGTGACCACCAAACCATTAGCCTTGGAGTGAAAGGCATCCTGGAATACATTCAAAAACACCTCATCCCGTCATGCTCACAATCCTGACAGTGCTTCCTCCTGATTGAAGAAGTTGGAAGGCTGAATTTCTCAACAGCTGCAGCTGCAGTTAAAGCACAAAAGAAAAAAAAAAAAAACACACACAGCTCTCCATACTAGATGAGATAACAACGTATTTATCAGTCTAAATATTATGAGCACTTACCCAAGAGTTGACAAGTTTGGAATGGTGTGGTACTCTTACAAAATGCAAAACAGCGTCTAAAACGGAGCTTGGCAAATGAACACCTGTGGCATCTGAAACTCACACCCATATACTGTCAAACCAGTGGGCTTTAATAAGGACAGTGGTACTGTAATTACTTTAACAAACCGCTGTGAAAGGATGATGCTGGTTTGTTACAAGTTGAGTCTTAGTTTTGATCGTCATTCATACAGATAATTAGTGTCGCTTCAACTGTGGCACTGAGAAACCGACCGCCGATGACACTTTTTAGTAAACTTCTCCCCAGAAGGAGGACAAAAAGACAAAAAAACCATCCAGCAGGTTTAGCATTTGTGAGTCTGGTTTGTTTGCCCAAGTCCTACATTTTATCTTCTTGTTATGGGAACAAGATTAAAAAAAGATGTTAGAAAGGCCAATACTCAAATATAAATATACATACATGTTTAACATTCATATCAGTGTAAGAAAACTTATTTTTCTTGTACCATTACTTTTGGATTTACTACCAAATAAAGTGGTTTAGATAATCTGGTTAGATAATCAATCTAATCAGACTGATCAACTTTGCTTCAGTGATATTCCCAGATCTCAGTAATTACTTAGGTGAGTAGAATATAATCATACCCAACAGAAATGATGGCCAAAAAGTGTGAAATTAAGACCCCAGTTGCAATACACCCTTTAACACAAGAAAAGAAAATGAATTCCATTTGTACAACTAATGAGAATTTCAACAGACGATGGTAAAAATTTCCCCCGTCTCCTCTAAGGGGCAATTTCCCAGAACTCAGCCCTGTTCATTAGCTACCATGCACAACCAAGAATGAAAGCAGAGCATGTGTGTGGGGTGATGGAAATGGAGATGGATGTCTTGCCCAAGATGTAGGCAAGTCAGTCCATTCAAGATAGCTGCAAGCTGTCACTTCCACCCACACACCTTCCTTTCCCCATTCCTCCTACATCTCTCCATTCTCCCAATAACCCCCCTTTCCCAGGGGCAGCATCCAAAGCCATCTACTTCTCCTAATTACCCATGGGCCCCAGAAATGGTCCAGCTGTTTGGAGAAGTGGGACCAATGTGGAGCAAGAGGTGCAGCAGCAGCAGCAGCCGCTGAGGATCTTGGGTGGAAAATGGAGCCTGATTAAAAGTTTTCAAGAGCATTGGAAGACAAAAGATGGAGAATGTGGAGGTTTTGGAGGAAGGACCTCTCAGGTAAATGCAGGAGGAAGTGGCACCAAAATTCTAATATTCATTTTTATTTTTTAACCTGGCCCTAATTTAACCTGTGCTTCTGCAAGGCATTCAGTGGGAACTCTCAGAACGTACTTCTGTCTGACAAGTATTCCCAGAAGGCCGATGCAGGACTCATTTGAAGGACAGACTCATTGATGGTTTTGACTGGACTGTTTGGTGTACACATAAAACGATTGGCAGTTTAACAACTGACAGACTGACACTGATTGATCGATCGGCCCTTAACTGTAGTAGACCTCTGACAAACACACAGTTTAAATTGCTTACAAATTGACTGATGGATTGACTGGCTTTGCCAGAAATTTGCAAAAAGGTATTTACACTCACCGTCTCTTCTGTGGCGGTCCAGCGTTGACTTGGCAGGGCCTGAAGAGATGTAGAGGAAGCCCGCCATAAAGACAGACGCGTGAAACAGAGAGGCATTCGCTGACCACTGCTCAGGTCTAGAGAAATCTACAAGAGGGAAGAGACACAGTAGATGAGCAAGGAAATGGGCTTCACCAAAGAATATAATGGTGGCAGTACACCATCTTATCCTTCACTCACTTCTCTGTGGAACCATTTCCATTAAAATCTTAGCACCAATCGTAATTTCTAGTCCTTGATCAGCAGCGAATCCAAGCATAGCGTTGTCCTGCGATAACCATGACTCTTTCAAATAAACTGAAGGAAGGGTTCCTTTATAGGATGAGAAAATTCTCATACTTTACATTAAATAAACCATTTAAAAAACCATGGGGCTATCCAAAAAGGCATCATCGCACAGTTGAAAACAAACCTGCTTTTAGGCTGGTGACATAACATGATAATATCGCAGCATTGATGAAAAAATATATTTTTAAATAAGTGTATTCCACCATTATGCACTACAGGCAAAATTCTGTATATGTATAAACCTTTAATGACTCATTTGTTATTTTGTAGAAAAACAGAACCACCCGAATTCCTATCTATATAAAGACCAAGGAACTGACTCCGGAAAAGACTTTCCAAACAGAGACCAGCAACACACCTGGCATGTGCACACAATCAAGGACAGTGAGCTTATTCTTAATCTAGAGATCTCACCAGACTCATCACACAATAAAATACTTGAATGTCCCAAAGTTAACCGATTATAAACTTCGTATCTACAACGTTACCAAATACAATAACCAACCCAATCGATATACTAAAATGCTGTAGTCCATATAAATATTACAACTGTTTTGTGAGATTAGATTTATATATTTAGACCACCAGTCTAAACATATAAACAATAAATAAATTATAATCAAGGTAAGACTCCACTGAAAATATTTAACCACCACCAGTGGTAATACCTTTATTAAATCAAGTGTGCACTCCCACAGTGCCGTTTATGGGACATTGCATTAAGCCTGTGTTACTGCAGAAAAAGCATATTATTATGTCGATATTATCTGACAACGTGTCCAGGTTCCATCACTGCTTATATCCCATAGTGTTGTCACAAAAAAAAAAAGTTTGGATTTAGAATATGAGAATAGTTCTAGATAGTGCTAATACTAGATGCGATTCTATCTTTCTAATCTTTCTATTCCATGTAAAACCCCTAAAAAGCTCATTTTTGTTCATCCAGAAAATATGGATTACTGGCCAGTTATTCACATGCGTCCACTCTGTTGAGGTGTCCAAGAAAGACACTGAATCCCCATCAGCTTCATGATTGCTGTTTTTTACCTGAACCTGCAATCTGACCTCCATGTGAGAGTATTTCCATGTGGGCATCAGTGAAGAATCACAGCATTATTTTTTTATACAAACCGCTGTTTATTTAATCATGACTTTTTCACGTGGTCATTCAAATCAAAGATAAAATGATCTGTGAGCACTTCAAGGTGCAAACCTCCATGTTCTGTATCTGTTAAAAATGAGTTTTACACTCTGTTATCTCTTAATCCTTGTCCCTTTAGAATTCGAAGCCTTATTCACTCTTTCTTTCACCCGTTTTCTTCTGAACCCCTGGTACTCATATTTTCTTGCTAGCTTTAAGCGCTCCCCAATTTCAACCTTATCATTCACAAATTCAATTAGCTTCAATTCTGGAGTTCAATTTTCTGCCAGAGCCTTGGCAATATCTTAGAGATTTTATCATGACTACCTCCAGCTCTCTCATCAAGCAAGGTAAAATAACTTTAATTGAAACCACTTTTAACTGAAGTGACATTTCCACCCTTTACAACACTACCAACCACTCATCTCAGAGCCACATATCATTCCACAAAGAGAAAAACAGTCAGTTATTATTGTATGTGTGCGCTCTGTGTATGGACTCATTGTGTCAAACTAATTAATTGTGCTCATATGCACTTCAATAATCGTTGAATTACAATAAAAGGGTACTAATATATTAACATGTTATAAAAATGAAACAAAGTAGATATCATATACCACATGCAAGCACCTTGAAAATGGTTTTAGGTACCTTGAAGGGTAAAACCACAGTAGATCTTAAATGGAAAGTAACGTTGCACTAACAAAGAATGCGGCAAGATGACCTCCCTTTATTAATGATTTTTTTGGCTTTAATTTTGCATGGTGAAGCATTGTCGAACAGAATAGAATTGTAGACTAATACAGGCATATTCAGGCACTGTAGCCATTTCAAACAAGTGAAATATATTCTTGATGTGACGCCAATCTCGAACAAGGTGACATGAAGCCAGGGCAATATTAGTTTGCAACATCTGTAATCTAGCTTTGGATCTAACATGCAGAATGTGAATGCCAATAGCAGTGTCATAAAGAGATGGAACCTGACACAGAGTTTAATAAGCAAACCGCAGAGAAGTGGTTCTAACATACACAATTTTCCAACCACTCAGATTGAGAGAATTTAAATAAGCTGGTGGCTTGAAGCTGTAGCAGTTGTAACAAGGCTCTCCCTGTGAGCTTTCTAAACAGTCTCTCTGGGCCCCTAAAGCTGGACTCTGAGATGAGACTGTGATGTCTGTGGGGGCGGCAGTTGAGAAGTCTGGCCTGTGCTGATTGGCTCAGTCCCCAGTGAAGGGAGGTGACATGACAAAGGGCTCAATTAGCCATCTGGTCGCCCACGGCAACGCTCACAAAGTGGTCCCCGACAAGCAGTGGACAGTGGGGTAATCAGAGACGCTCGTGCACACACACACAGACAGGAATGCAGCCACACACAGTAAATGATAACACAACTGGCTAACATGTGCAAAACAAGCCGGCTGAAGATAAAAGACACCAGACAACTAAATTCCAAAGTGCCAAAAGACACAGTCATTTATCTGAAATGAAACTTAGAGATGTGACCAGATCCCACTTTTTTTTTTTTTTGCCAATATCACTTCACTTCAAAATTACCACCATCCACATACAAACACTCCAACAAGGGAATCTTTCCAAACTCTCAGCAGCTGCTTGTGACCTCTTGGCCCTCTTAAAGTCCTGTGTGCAATCCTGTGTACTGGTTAAAAACAAACTTCAACAAGCTCTAGAAAAACTGGCAGAGAATGGCAATGTTGCTAACAACAGGGTGGAATGGAGACCCAGGAAGAAACAGGGCCTTTGATTTAGTGTTTGTGTATGTGTGTCCGCATGTTGGTGTTCATCTTTTTATTATCCGCACAGAAAGGCTGCCGGATAAATTTTTAATGTGCCGGGAGATTCAGAGATTTGAGGCGTCGGGGATGCTAGGGTGGCAACAATAAAACTTCTTTGCCTCCAAATCCATGGTGTGTCATTTAAAAAGGAGCAGGATGATGTCAACAGTAAGAGGCATTGCTGTTTAGCTTGGTTTTACAGTACAGTTGCCTCCTGGGTTAGAGTGAAGAGTCGTCATAAAACACAATTTACATGTTTACATCATTCTATTTACAGTCTAGGCATTAGTTGATGTTTTTATCCAGTGATTTACAGTGAAACAGCTGACAGGGATTCAGTGTCTTGCTGCAGGTTGTTTATTGTAAAAAAACAACATTGTAATCTTTAAGCCACTATTTGTACAGCGGGTTTTTCATGGGTTTAGCTCTGATGGCAGTTGTTTCACTTGTAAAAAAGTTTGACAGTCTCTGGAAAATATGGCACTGCCAGTGTTTGTATTGATACCATCACTAGAAGGTGCCAAGGGATGTAATTCTATGCCTCTTGTTGCTACTTTAAAGCTGGACTATTTAATATTTATATATAAACAATGTATCAAAAGTTATCTGGCGTTGCATAAGGAGACAAAACCACACAGAATTATCACCAAACTGTGAAGCTTTAGCAACTTTCAGCTTATTGTTTTAGTTTATAAGGCAAAACGTTACTGTTCTGGTTCAGTCGTGCTACTCTCATGAGCCTGATATTTTCCTCAGGGGTTAGCTCTGTGTGAATGTTTACCACATAAACACATGAATCAAACCCCAAATAACTAAAGACTTAATGCTCTCATGCAATGTTTCCAACATTAACTACAGAGTTAGTGGATTCTCACATTATGACAATAAACTGAATAATTAAAGGTTGTACGTTGTTCGTAAGAACTGATGTATCCAAACAAGTGCGGACAGTAAACTGGCAAGGAGACCAAGTGGCAGGTGGAGATCAGTAATGTCACACACCTGCAGCATTTACGAACCAATTACTGACTTGCCTGGCGCAGGCACCAGCGGCATTGGCCCTCAGAGTGACGATTCCAAGGACCAAGACTTCTTTGGCATGTCAGTAAACTATGCTCGTTTGTCATCCACTCAACCCTGAATGTTACAGCACCACTACCAACACTCTCAGTGACCTTTACCCATTAAAGTAGGTTGCAAGATACAGTACGGGAAACCAACACACTCTGGGATTTCTAAAGTTTGCGATGCAGTTTAGATATTTTATATTTACAGTTTTAGTTCATCGGCTGATTCTTTTATCAAGAAAATCTTTCAACTTAGTGTAGGGGTTTGGCGGAGGTACTGGAAGAATTTAAAACAAGCAAAAGTCCACTTACACAGATCAAGCTTTTAAACCTTTTTGGGTCAACTGATGAAAACAGAACTCAAAGAAAAACTTTTGCAATATACATATTTTTTACACATAACTTTATTTATATTGTCTGTGTATCCTCCTGAGTGTAACATATGGGAACACACTGCACATAAAAAATGATAGAGGAACCTATAAATATACAAGAAACCACAAACAGTAGAAGTGTTTGATGATAAGGGATAGAGCCATCACTGAAACGGTCCTCAGGGGTTCCTAAAATGTGAACAAACACTGCCTTAGAGAGCTGCCATTGGCTTTTTTAAATGGAATCTGGAATGGGGATATGCAAAATAACGTGCTCCTACAGTATCCCAGGGTGATATCGGACGAGCAGGTACAACGAGGTCCGCTGTGGCCCATGTGCATGGATACATGTATATGCATAGAGTAGGAGCTAATGAAGTGGCAACGCGCTGCCATCAGTGGACGTCCTAATGCTGGTGCTACAAATGAGCTGCTGCAGAAGGAAGGGACAGTGGAGGGGATCGGGGAGAAGCAGCCTGACAACTTTGTTTTGATTCATTACATCCAGGGGACATGAAGAGTGTTTTCCTATTTTTACTTTTACAAACTGGGAACATGATTCACACTGCAAAGCGATGCGGCACGCTAAGAGCTACTCCAGTTTAGACTGTTGTTGTTAAGAGTGTGAGGCGTTCAGGGCGTCTGACGATTGCTCATCGCTGGCTTATTCTAGTCTCCCACCAGGGGGATAGTGTATTTGGTAAAGAACCATGTTTATCATCATTTCATTCAATATAGCGTCTGATTTTCAGCACCATGTGGTGGTTAAATGAAGGCCTGAAGTGCAACCTTGTTGTGGTTGTGTGGCTTAGAAGAACAAAAAAACAAGAACATGATGGCATGCTGCTGAAATATACATCTGTCCTTACATTACCTCGTATGTATGTTTAGTCCTGCTTAAACAACTCTCAACTGTTTTGTCCTCAATACTGTCTGCTATGTGGCTCCTTTTATTCTCCTCTCTGTCAACACCACACTAAACAGTAGGGATGGTGTCATATGGGTATTGAATTGTTCCCCGTTTCTGCCAGACATAATACTGCACACAACAATTGAAAAAGTTCCATTTCTGTTTAACCAGAATTTTCACAAAAACAATGCAGATGCCACTTTCCAAAGCTTTATGTGATGTGGCATTGTGTCCAGAAAATAAAGAGGGAATTATTTGGCCTAATATTCTAGTTCTTCACTGTAGGTTTACAGCAGCCGGGTCCCATAGCAAAAGGTGTTAACAGCTGTGTTGGTCCAAAGTGTAAACCGTAGCAGTATCACAATACTGGCTGTAAATTGTGACATGGCAACGTTTGTTGTATTGGAGTCCAGTGACCTTCTTTGTGTTCTTCTTCTTGGTCATTTATGGTGGTTGTCAAACAAGGCAGTGGCGCATTACCGCTACCAACTGGACTGCAGTGTAGATCGGGAAGCTAATATTTAGTATGCCACAATTTCTGGGGTGTTACTGCGAGAGCAGTATGTTTCACATGTACATGTAGCTATTATAGACTTTGCTGTGAGACTGGGTTGTTTACAGACGAGGAGCAGTCTGCTCTTCTTCTAATTTATGACTGATATTGTCACATTTATAGTTGTGTTTAAAGACCCATGCTGTAAATTCTACATACATTTGAGATCAGTCAATACACCATCATGCCTTGTAATGGACTCTACAAAAGCGCTTAAAAGATTGATTACCAAAATAGATGGCGATTCATTTTCTGTTGAATGATTAATCAACTCGGATCAATTATTATAGATTTTTTTTTTTAAAGGAGGTACATGATACCACATGTGAAGTGAGTAACAGAACGCTGTATTAGAAAAAAACTCCAAATTATGTTCAAAACAGGACAATCACGTCATAGGTCACGTTTGGGATTGTAATTGGGGTTAAAAAAAAAAAAAACAAGTTATCTTCCACACCCTTGAGCCACACTAATAAGAGCGCATTGTTTCCTGCACTGAACATTAGTATGAAAGATAGTTGCATATAAACGCATGTAAAGATCTTTTGCCTGTAACTGTACTATAAGTGACATTTTTAGGAGTATCTTCTTTGTGGCCACTCTGCTATAGAGTCCCAACTTGCCAAGTGCTGCACTAACTCTTGTCCCTGAGGCAAGATCTCCACTGGAAGAACACTGTCAATCTGTCAGAATAGCATTTTGCTTGTCCCTAACCTCCCTGACCTATAGGGCCCTTCTTTCCTGCAGTAGTTGGTCAGTTTAGTTGAACATCCATATCTCCACACAGTATCTGGTTTGCTCCATATTTGTCTGTTTGTTAATGATGAAGCCCTACAACTTGCAGACACATAATGAGCACATACAGACTTCCTGAATGCTACACACTTCCACATTTCAGGCAGCCAATACCATACCTGAGAATGTGTGTGGGTCTAGCACACCTCCAAGTAATGGCTATTACTATGGCGACCAGGTGATCCCATGCTAGCAATTAGGGGTCCCTAACAGGCTCGGTGCTGGGGAGTGCGCACAGCAGCAACCCACATACATTATGTAAAATACAGCCCTAAGAAACCCCCCCCCAAATCTAATACATTCTTGTCATCAGCCTTGTGTGAAACAACACAAACAAAACAGATGTGTCAAGGGGAAGCCACACGACACAGCACATCTGTGCCATGCCTCCAATGTCACAAACATGCGATGGGTAATGCAAAGGAAGAGTTTAGGGAAAAGTAGAAGAGAAACAAAGAAAAAGAGAAAAAAAAATTTAACTTACAACTTGCTGCTTTCAAATTTGTGGGTTTGTCTGCCTTCATTTCCTTCATGAAAATGGGGGGAAAACCCCTCTCTGTGCTTTTTGTAAACGTGGCAGCACAACAGTGAGTATGAGATTTAAACATGATTGGCTCATTAAAGCATAAAGAGACTGGGCTGAAAACATGGCTAAGACAGTTATAAGTGTTCCTACTCACACACCTACATTAGTTTAAGGGCCCTTTCACAGATTTATGTGAGTGTGTCAGCTTTTTATTTTTTTATTTATTCATTTTTTAATGTCTGACCAGGAAAATATGAGTCATTCTATTTAATAGCAGCATTCTCTGGTCCAACTCTTCA